CTGCCCGGTAAACCGTAGGCAGAGAGGGAGAAGAGGACAACAAACGAGGGGCTGTGACAAACTGTTTCGTCGGAGTTTCACCGACTCATCAGGATGTATATATATATATATATATATAGCGGGCACATGCATCCAGGTGTTGCTGTGTGTACTAGTGTGAGTACGCCCTGATTCTGGACGTGTGTATCATTAGGTGGCACTGCATGAAATCTATCTGCTTTTCTGCATTTTTGGTGAAGTGACATCCTGGTTCAGGCACTTCTCCAATGAGAAAACCGTCCGTAAAAAGGGAGGAAGGGAGAAAAGGGAGAAGAATGAGGGAGAACACAAAGTGACTGGAAGTGCTCATGGGGGCCGAAGGTCTAGTCACCCCTGCTCATCTAGGGCGGCCACCCAGCCTCTCCTGAAACTCCGGGCTTTCAAGAGCTGTCAGAGTCACTGTGGCATCCTCTTGAAACCCTTTCTTTCAAGAGCAGCTCTTGAAACCCCAGCCTGCCTGCAACGTGCGTTTTCCTTGGGCCTCGCTGCACTACTCTCCACATGCACAAAAGACAAATAACATGTCTGACTCAGTGTATCTTTCTATGTTCTAGCGGAAGATTCATTCTCATTTTGCACATTGTCAGTTGGAGAGCAGTGCAGCAAGGCCCGTTGGCCGCACCCTTGAGGGACTTTCTATTTTCAAGAGTTGTCGGGCTGTTATCCTGACGCCAGTCGTGACGCCAGTCGGTAAAAACAAAGCTGTACGACTGTCTTTTTGCATCCAGATTCCTGTGTTTGGGCCTCACGGCACCACTCTCGAAATGTGAAAAAGACAAAAATGCGGCTGATGCATCCGGCCATCTTCAAGCAGGATGTTTGTTGTCATTTTGCACATTTCGAGAGTGGTGTGGTGATGCCCTTTGTCCAACACCATTGTCGCCGGTTCAAGAGTGCTGTGCTGTGTCGCCAGGGGGCGACAACTCTTGAAATCGTCTGACAGCTCTTGAAAATTTTCCCTATTTCAAGAGTGGTGTGGGGAGGCCCCTATGCGTTTTTGTATTCGAACTTGGGTGTACATGCCTCACGGCGGTGGTGCAAAAAACGAGTCAAAATGGTGATTCGGTGATTCTTGGCCTCGCAAGGTTTGAGGTCGTTTTTGTATTTGAAAGGTTACAGGGTCACCGCCCCGACGACAGCTACGTGGGGCGAGATGGTTATGCCTTCCACCCTCGGCATAACTTCAATAGTCTCAAGCTCCACAGAGCGAATGCTCCAGCACTGTCCAATGTCGTCGCACCCCACCCTTCTGATAATAGACTTACCACCCTGAACCGCCGATCCCTCCTCTGAGTGAACCCCCCCACTTCCCACCTGCCTCTAATTCGACCTTCCCCCTTTCATTTGCAAGACCACATCCTAGCAAATTTGAACTACAACTTCCGAAAAACTATATCAGATTTAGAATTAGATCAAGGATGGATAAATGTAGGACATCAATTCCACTTTGAGAAAATCAATTTGTAATCCTTTGTAATTCAAAATTGAGTAATCATTCTTTGGGATCAGAGCAAAACTCTGATTTACGAATTTCAGATTAGATAGCAACTCTCTCCAACTCTCCAGAACACAGGTCCACATTCAGGAATTTAATCCAATCCTCTTTGCAAATGGGACCAGGCCCCCGGTGTTTTGCTTCCGTCAGGAGGACTCCTGAGAGGTCTTCCCATCTCTTCTCCTCCTGGCGGACCTGCCCAATCAAGGCCCTCCCCTTCAGATCCCCCCAGCCAATTCAAGACGAAGTTTCAATTTTTTTTTTCGTCTCTCTTTTTTCTGGTGTAAATTCTGTCAGATCTGAAGCATTTGCTGATGACTCTGTTGCTTTTACACCAGAGTGCAGGCTCAAAGATTCGAACCAACACCCTAAGCCACAAAGGTGCATAATCGACCAGCGCTGGACCCCTCGGCCCATCGTTGTTTCCCATGTTTACCGCCCTGTGCAGGGCACACTTCCCATGATCCCCTCCGTGCCGTGGGCGGAGCCAAGAGAGGCAGCTATCTTTTCATGGTAGTAATGATAAAAATGAAAGAACCAGAAAACTTTAAGTTGGACAGGTTTGGAGGAATGATAAAAAAGAAGGGGAAGATGGGGAAGATGAAAGCCTTGGAAAGATGGTGAGAAAACAAGAGAGGCTTCTAATCTAGAGTACTCCTTCCTCCCCAAAATGTCAAAGTCTGCTGGAAGAAAAGAAATAAATGATGAGAAGAGCTGTTCCAACCTCAGAAATTGCTGGTATGGAGAGAGAGATGGCAGGAAAAAAAAAAAGAAAAAAAAAAGAAGAGGTGTGTGCATCAAATGTCATAAGCCCAAACCTTTGTTTTCTCCTCCACCAGAGCTTTACTGATCTGCCCCAGCTTTTGCTCCATCTGCACCACCTTGTCCTTCAATCCCTGCAGCTCTTCGTCCTGGAGTTTGGAAGAGCGATGAAGAGCTCGAGTCAAATCAGAGGAACCAAGCCAAAAAAAAAAAGTCACACTTGTCTAGCATGCAGCTAATTGTGGGGTTGGCCGCATCGTTGAAATGATAACTTTCACGAGGTAAGAAGAAAAAAAAAGAACAAGGATGCAGCTCTTCATCCTGGAGTTAAAAAGAGGAAAGGAGAGCTTTCAGGCAAAAAAACAAAGTCAAGCTTTTTCTAGCATGTCAACATCCCCAACCAAGCCACCCAGCTACACTTCAACAAGTGGATGTAAAGTTGTAAACAGAACCCAGCCAAACTCAGGAGAAAAAAAAAAAAACTCAGGAGCTTCCATGTTTGTCTTTTTGTATTTTAGTATCCTTGGTGGCATTAGTGATACATACCTTTTTCTGAAGAGCCAGTCCAAATTTTGCTTTCGCATCTCTGCAAGCATTAAGCGTAAGGACAAACATTTTGGAGAACATAAACAGAACAAAACAAAACAAAAATAAATCATCAAAACCAGACAGCTCTATCCACATCCGAGCGTGTTGTGCATTGTGCTTCATGCAAATTTTCAACACATTTACATGACATTGTGCTCGGTTTTACTTCGGCTTGACTACAGTGCGGTGTGATGTCATTGCATCAGGTAAGGGACGCTGCACCCGGTTCCCAGTGGGTGAAGCCCCCCACCAATAGATGGAGCCTCCAAGAAGGGGCCCACTTTAGGAGGATGCTCTTATCACCTCCTCAAGTAGAACGCCGCCAGGAGTTCTCTCTCTCTCTCTCTCTCTCTCTCTCTCTCTCTCTCTCTCTCTCTCTCTCTCTCTCTCTCTCTCTCTCTTTTTGGGGGGGGGGGGGGGGGGGGGGGGGGGGGGGGGGGTTCACCTTTGTCCAGTAGTTGAATATGATCTGGTAGTCGCTCTTTTTTTTTTTTTTTTTTTTTTTTTGTGAACTCTGTCTTGCTCTGCCCTGTCTCCGCCCTCCCATCTCTAACCCTTCTGGTAAGTCAGGTCCCTGATTGTGCTCGGGTTAAGGGACAACGCAACTCCTCTCGGCTACATAATCTTTTTTTTTTTTTTTTGAAAAAACTCTGTGGATTCTATTAGGGGGAGTGATATGAGGACCTCCCCCTAATATGACCCCTCTCAGCCACATAATCAATCTTGTCCAAGCCAATAAGTTACCTGAGCAGGCCTCGAGCCCAGCACCTATCGGGCATGCAACCACATGCCTGCGTTGGGAAGGGGTCTGAGAGGGTGGGGTGGTGATGGAGCTTGCGTTTGGGCAGGTTAGTGGGAGAGGGCAAAAAACAAAAACAAAAAAGGTCAGTGGCAGAGGCTTTGCAGCATTATTTTTGAACAACAAATGCATCCCATTCACAATGCATAGGGACATGCTGTCCTCCACTCGAAGTTTTGCCCTTTTTTTTTGGGGGGGGGGGGGGGGGGGGGGGGGGTGTAACTAGGGCGCAGTCACCATTTCAGTTTTAAATCCAGTTCAGGCATCCCTCAAATACAACACATCCCCATCCGACCCTAAAGCTGGGTTGTATACATTCACGATTTTCCTCCCTTTGACACAACATCCGCAAAATCGAAACTGAAACGCATTTTCAAACTGAAACCGTGACAGCGCCCTAGTTTCCCCCTTTTTTGGGGGGGGCATGGGGGGACATGCTTGGGGTTTGGGGACAGGTAAGGGGACTGGTCTGGGGACAGATTTGGGACTGATTTGGGAGAGTGGGAGTGGTGGAATAGTTTTGCTGGAGGGTGAAAATTTCTGGACTGAACTCTTTTGCCAAGATCTTACATGCTGTTTTCCATCTCCTTCTGGAGCTGGTTTCTCAGCCTGGATTGCTCGGCCCGCAGGGCCATCACCTGCTCCGACTGCAAGAGGAACAAACGTCGCACATAGACATAGAGTGTCACTGATCCTTTTTTTTTTTTCTTTTTTTTTTTATAGGGGAAACTACGCTGCAGTCACAAAAATGAGTTATAATTACACTATGGGCCAAGATACAGTTTCGAATTGCAGTTCCAGCAATGTATACAACCCAGCTTTCTGGCCAGGTAGGGTGCCTGAAGTGCAATTGCAAACTGTATCTTGCCCCATAGTGCAATTATAATAGTGCAATTATAAGTCGTTTTTGTGACTCTACTTCTTCTTCTTCTTCTTCTTTGGCTTCGTCGTCTTCTCCTTCCTTCTCCATCTTCTTCTTCTTCTTCTTCTTCTTCTTCTTCTTGGCATCGTCGCCTTCTCCGTCCTTCTCCGTCCTTCTCCGTCCTTCTTTTTTTTTTTTTTTTTTAAGAACACGCCCTCGCCAGTGTTAGTGCTGCTGATAAGAGCAGACACCGCTAACACCAGGAGGGAGGCTCCATCTATTGGTGGGGAGCATCACCTGCTGGAAAACGGGTCCAGCGTCCCATATACAGAGGTTGAGGATGTCTGAGAACAATGAGAATAGTGACTGTGAGGGCTGCCAGCATTGATTGCCCTGCACCTCAGGGGATTGACTGAGCAGCCTTAAAAGAGTGACCTCTTCACTAGTTGGAAAGAAAGGAGGGGGGAACCTCTTCACCATAAGGCCTGGCGCCAGATACCTACTATTGCATCCTAGTTCCGTCTCCCGTTTTCTGTGAAAGAATAGGACAACTGAAAAGCAATAGATAAAGCAGACAGGTCTGTCCTAGGCGGCTGTAAACCAGTGAATCTCCACTACGGAATTTGCAGGCGGTGGGAAGGGATCGGGGAAATCTGAGAGAGGTCGTAAGGGGATGGAGGGGTCGATCTTGGTCCAATCATGAAACTGGAGGTGATAATCCCGGTCTATCTTTTCCTTATCCCCCCCCTCCCTTCCCGCTCCCCCTTTCCACTGTAGGTCTGCTATCCAGCCCCCTTGTTCCCCTCCCAGCCAGTTGTTGCAGAAAGATTGTATGTGGTTCTTGATTTCTGTTTTTGAGTGCATAAAGGTTATTTTTTCCTTTGTTTTTTCCCATTGCACTGTGAGCTCTGCCTGGATCTGGAATTTAATTGTTTCGATGACCCGGACCTTCGAGGCGGACTTCTTCCATCTCCCTGGTGCACCTTTTCCACCAGATTGCCCAGAGCACTGCTCTTCGGCCTATTGTAAACATGTTCCTCTCGAAGGTACTTGCTTGATCCGGCTGCTAAGCTTCACACAGAATTGATTGCCAGTTCCACGGCCATGGGGTTGTTGTGCCTAACAGATTCCACACACGGTCCCACCATCTCCATAACCAGACCGATCCAGGGCACTGTAAAAAAATGTGCTCGATTGTTTCTGGTCTCCTCCTTGCTGGGTATGAGGCCACACAGAATTTACACCAGGGGAGGGCCAGGCCCTTCTGTTCCAGGGAGGAACGATCAATCAACCAGTCATTGGTAGGTAGGCAGCGGTGTTCTATCTGCCATTGTAGGGACGCGATCTTGAGCGGTGACGTTTTGCTGAGCCTGAACCATTTGATTGGGCGTAAGGTATTCCGATCGAGGTTTAAATGTCTTGTCCAACGCTCACTCACCACCTCTTTTAAGTTCAGCTTTGGGTGCAGTAGGAGGTAGGCTCCTTTGACTGTCATTGAATGGATCTGTTGCTGGCCTGTTTTGCCTCTGCCGGACTGGGTAGTCCAGACCCAAACGGCCGGATCAAAAGCGAGATGTGCAATCGAGGTGTCAGGTTTATATGCCCACCACTGATCTTTTTCTTGAAGCACCCGGATTCGGAAGATTTCCTCTGCTTTGAACCACCTTGTTTCGTCCGTGATTGTCCTGGCCAGCCTATTCTTTTTCCCGATGTTATAAAGGCTCACCAAAACCTCGCTGTCCGGTCGGCCAGATAACACCACATTTCCAACCTTGGCTGCACACCCCCTGATTCCTACCCAGTCGCTTTCTTCAAAGGTCGGCCCTTTTTTAAGAATCCTCACCCAGTCTAGGGGTATTGAGAAAATAATTTCCTCCAGGGCCGCCCCGACATTATGACAATACCGCAGTCGCCCCCTCAGTTGAGATTCTGTGACCCAATCTTGTGTGTCTAAATCCCAGATGTCCCCGATTCGGAGGATACCTCTGCTTACCCATCCCCTCCAGGGGGTTCCGGTGCAGAGAAATACTGAGCCGTGGGGGTCCGTGACCCACCTGTTCCCAAATAATGGCTGCCTCAGTACTTCTTCCACCCGCCGCGGGGCCACCTTGTTGGGAAGCGGTAACTTTCGCCATGTGGTAAGCAGCTCGGTCTAAAAGGGATCATTCTTTATATCTTTCCTTGCTGCTTGTCTATCAGATTCCGGTTCCTCATCGGATTTCGTTGTCCGTCTGGGTATAGTCCAATATCTGTCCTCTAACCACCCAAGCGGATCTATGTTGTCTGGGGTCGGGGGGGCCAGTATTCTAATCTGTTGTAGAGCCATCTGTTGCCAGGAAATATTTGTGTCAAATAGAAGGCTCTTTACCCACTTCAAGGACAAAGCCATGATCTGTGTAGGTGGATCCAGAATCCCCAAACCCCCTCTAGATTTTGGTTGGGTTATGGCTCGCCAAGCGACTCTACTGATCGTATTTTTGCATTCATGGTTTCCTCTCCAAAGGAAAGTCGTTACCTGCCTTTGGAGGGGGCGTAGAGCCGTCTTGTTGAGTGACCAGATGGCTGTCTTGTACCATAGGGATGCAAGCACCACATTATTGATGACTAAGGCCCTGCCGAATAAGGATGTGTGTTGGTCTTTCCACCGTACCAGTTTTTGTAGCACAGGTTGGGTCAACCATTCATCATGGGTTGGTGGACGGCCCTTGGCCGACATCTGAACTCCCAATATTCGAATAGGTGAGTTGGTTGGGACCCATTTCACTCGTGGGGACTCAGGCGGCCTACTCCCTTGATAGTGGATCCACCACCCTTCAGTCTTACTACCCCAATTTACCCTCATGTCTGACAACTTACAGAAGAGACCCATTAACATTTGGATTTCTCTCATGTTTTCAGGTGAGGCGTCGACCATAATGGAGAGATCGTCTGCAAACAGGGAACAAATCGGGATTGCCTCTTCCAGGATCGAGGTTACCCGTATTCTTTGGAGCTTCTTATGTGTCCTCAAGTTTGCTGCCAATGCCTCCATAATTATGACAAACAAGAACGGAGCGATGGGGTCCCCCTGATGCACCGAACGTTCTAGATCAATAGGGGGGGCCAGCCTCCCATTAATCTGCACCTTTGTGGAAGCACTGCGGTGCAAGATCTCCACCCACCTCCGAAAGCATGACCCAAAATTCAGTTTTCCAGACATTTATCGAGGAAAAACCAATCAACGTGGTCGTAGGCTTTCTCAAAGTCAATGAAGATTATTGCCGCATTGTGTTTGGATTGGCGTGACAATTTCAGAACCTCGTTTATGAGGAAGATATTGTCTTAGATTTTCCTGCTTTTAATAAAACCAGTTTATGCAGGGTGGATAATATCCTCCATTATCGGAATCATACGGTTTGCCAAGGCTTTCGCCAACATTTTGTAAACCACTGTGAGTAAAGTAATGGGCCGATAATTTTGAATATTCATCTTGTCACCTTTTTTGAAGAGTAGAGACAGCACCCCTTGTCCCACCACTTCCCCTATCTGCCCTGACTCCCAGACTGCATGGTAATAGTCCATCAGGTCTTGTGATAGGGGGCTCCACATCGATTCCCAAAATTCCTTTGGCAAGCCGTCTATGCCAGGGGTCTTTTCTTCGCCCATTTGCAAGAGGGCTGTCCATATCTCAGATTTCTCAAGAGGTTGCTTTAGTGCTTCCTTTTGAGATTCGGAGAGAGTATTTTATAAGGGAATGAGGAGGTCTTCGATTTCTCTTTTCCTTTGTTCTTTTGGTTGACTTTTACATTCCGACTGAAAAAGTTGTTGGAAGAAACCTCGAGCAATATGAACACACTGTGGGGTGGTGGTAACCGGGGGGGCCCATTCCCGGGAGGGGTCTTTCAAGGCCTCGATAATAGTCCTCCCTGTTCTAACCCTTGCCATTGCAAAGAAACGGGAGTCCATTGCTCCCTCTGTTTTCTGTTTCCGTAATTTCCCCCTGATCCGGGCGCCTTGCCACCGGTGCTCCATGCAGGTTACTAGTTGGGTTTCTATTGACATAATTTTACTGGATAGATCCTTTGATTCTTGGTTTGCATCTTCTTCCTGTTCTTTTAACTGGTGTAGCTGATATTGTAGTGCCATTTCGTCAAAATGTCGTTGTGCTGCTAGGGCTTTTGAAAACTCGCCACATTTCTTGGCCAGAAAGACCAAGCCATTGTTGAACCATAGAACGTCATCGCAGAGAGTCTGCCGATGTGATTGCCAGTGTGCCCAAGTTTCGTTGATGTGGTTTGTGAAGGATGACAATTGTAGTAAAGAGGCATTCAGTTTGTAGTAACCTGGCCCTTGGTCAGGGCGCTTCTTGAAAGAGAAAATGGTGACGCACATTGCATGGTCCAGCCCGGGGAACGGACTCTGTGGAAAGATTTCAGCGAGCTGGAGGGGCCCTTCTAGGTCCTCGGAGGCCAGAATCAAGTCTATTCGTGATCTGGATATCCTTTGTGACCCGTTTTTCCTGAAACAGGAAAATGTATGGTTTGTTGGATGAGATCTGCGGAATGTGTCATACACCCCTAGTGAGGAACAAAGGTCGGTTATAGACCATTCGTCCATCTCCACATAGATTGGGCAAGGGGATGAAATGTTCCACCTATCCAGCTACCGATCCGGGGCCGCATTGAAGTCACCTGCCAGTATGATCGGGATGCCCTGCGGGATTCGTCCCTTGAGGGAGTAAAAAAAAATTACTCTAGCGCCCACCTCATTCGGAGCGTACATGCAAAAGATAGCAACCACCTCTAG